ATGGAGTTTCACTCTTCTTGCCCAGGCTGGAGTGCAATGGCACTATCTCAGTTCACTGCAACCTCTACCTCCCGGGTTAAAGCGATTCTCCTGCTTCAGCCTCCCAAGTAGCTGAGATTACAGGCTTGCGCCACCACACCTGGCTAATTTTGTATTTTTAGTAGAGACAGGGTTTCACCATGTTGGCCATGCTGGTCTTGAACTCCTGACCTGAGGTGATCCACCCTCCTCAGCCTCCCAAAGTGCTGGGATGATAGGCGTGAGCCACCGCACCTGGGAAGACTGGCCCTTCTTGATCATACTTCCTAAAATAGCCCCTCACACAAGGAAATTTCGGGGGCCAGTCAATATGTTCATTATCTTGATTGTGGTGACCCAAGAGCCAGGAAGATTTGGTCTTTACTTGTCCAGCCTCATCCTTCACTAACCTCCAGATACTCTCCCAGCTACATGACATGCATTCATTCCTGGGGAGCCATGCTCTCTCTCACCTAAGTCTCTGCATATGCTGTTCCCTGTCTGAAGACACACGCCTCACACCCTTGCCTCCCAAACCCTGGTAAAGAAACTGTACTTCAGCCAGCCAGCTCCTGCCATCCCCCTTTAAGGCTGAAGTCATCCCCAGGAAGCCCCCTTAACCCTACATACACAAAAGGCGCAGTTAGGTCTCTGTCCCTGGAGCCTTAACTATGACTGCCAATTCAAGCCTTCGATTCCTCTTCCCTCGGCAGCTAAGATCCTCTCTGTAAGGCCGGTTGCCTCGCCAGGAGCTTGGACATGCCCATCCCTCTCCACGCCTGAAATTACGTCACCAGAATCTACACTCAGCATCTAGCTTCGCCACGTCCAGCTCTGCACTCAACACTAAACTCTGCACTCCGCACCTAGCCCGCCGTTGGAAATCCCCTCTGCACTCAGCACCAGGATCTGCACTCGACACTAAACTCTGCACTCCGCACCTAGCCGGCCATTGGAAAACCCCGCCAAAACCTGCCCAATAGCATATTGCCCCATCCAGCCTGCTCACGGGAAATCCCGCCTACCTACCTATAGCGGCTTGCCACGTCCACGTCCTGTTCTCCACAGCCAATCTGAACGCCTTCCCTCCCTATATAACCCCACGCCTGAGAGAAGTCAGGGGTGACTTCTCTGGCCTCTTTCCCCGGGACCACGGAACCTCACCCGGGAGCCGAATAAATTGGCGTCTAATTGTTCTCATGCAGGCCTCAGTTTCCTCATTTTAAACTCGGCAATAGACCTCACAGAGAATAAACCTTACAAGTGGTGCCGAAACCTGGGAGGAGTTGTAAGACCCGTCCTGGGGGAAACTGACTCCTTCATCCAAAGCCAGAACAGGGAACTGCTCCATCCTTACTGCAAGGTAAGACTTCTGTTACCCACAACCTGTCCCGCTGCCTGCCTCATGGACTCCCTGCTCGTAATCACAGACGCGTCAGGGACTCCTTCTTGTTTCTCGGCGTGGGCCCAGGGTCCCAGCCTCGTCCTAAGGACCTGAGCATAGAGGAAACGTCCCTATACTCTTGTCTTCTCCCCATGAGGGGTTTCTCAGGGTCGGGATTCTGAGGGAGACGTCCCCACCTTCCTGAACCCTCTCATATTCTCCAGTGTTCGGAAGTGCAGTCCGGGACGCCTTCCGAACATCTCTGCAGTAGCGGCCGAGGTTTGGGTATTCAGAAGCCCCGTTTGCAGATCCGGGCCCTGCCTAACAACAGGACCAAATCCCCCAGCTTACGGCACTAAAACGTTTATCTCAAATCAGCCTTTCGGCACATAAGTTCCCGTTAATTAAGTAACCGTAGTTTGTTTCTCTTCCTAATCCCGAGTGAGTGAGTTTATGTGTAGTCCCACGGCCTGACGGCTACAGGGCTTCTGTGGGCCTCAACCCGTGCGGTTCCACGGGGACGTCATAAGGCATAACGGTGATTCATCTCAGGAAACTGAAGGTAACCAGGCCCGGGGGTTATACAAGTACACCTTAGCCAAGATGCCCTGAAACATCCCTTCGGGGACGTGGACGGGAAGGCATCAGACCAGTCTCCCACCTGGGGGGCACCCACCCTTTGTCTGTCAATCCTATATGTGGTTTTTGTCTCAGATAGCCCTAGCCCTGTCTCTTTTTATTTTCTTTCTCGTCACAATCGTTGCCGCCTGTAAGTTCTCTAGCCACCCTCCCCTGGGAAAGGAGTACTTCTGCCTGCTTTGGGTATAATACCTTTCCATATTCCTTTCTTACCCCTAACAACTCCACAAGAAGGTGAACCATGGGCAATCAGAAGTCCCGCCCAGATCCTAAGTCACCATTAGAGTGCCTAGTCCAAAATCTACCCAAACTGGGTCTTTCCATTAAAAAGAAGAGGCTGCTTTTCCTCTCTACTGTGGCTTGGCCACAGTATCCCCTAGACAACCAGTCTAAGTGGCCTCCAGAGGGCGCACTTGACTTTAATGTTCTGACAGACTTACACAACTTCTGCCAAAAGAACAGTAAATGGTCCGAGGTCCCCTACATGCAGGCTTTCTGGTACCTTCGCTCCCACCCTGCCCTCTGGCCTCCTGCACCACCGCCCAGGTCCTGCTGGCCAAGGAAACTTCCTCATCACCCTCTGCTCCTCCACCCTCCTCTTCCTCCCTTTCCAACCCTGACCCACCCGAAGAGCTCTCCTTTCCATTCGCCCAACCTACTGACCCCCCACCTTATGTGAAACCTCAACCCCCTCCTGCTCCTCCTCGTCCTGATCCCCACTTAGCCTCTCCTGTTAGTGCTCACGCCTGCTCACACTGTACTCTCAACAACGAGACTCCTCTCCTATGCCCCCTCCGTGAAGTAGCCGGAGCAGAAGGCATTGTCCGAGTGTACATTCCCTTCTCCCTCTCTGATCTATCAGCCATTGAAAAACGCCTAGGGTCATTCTCTACCAATCCTACAGCTTATACCAAAGAATTTCGTTACCTCACCCAGGCATACGACCTAACCTGGCATGATACCTATGTGATCCTGTCCTCCACTCTTACTCCTGATGAGCGTGACCACATTCTTACAGCAGCCCAGGCTCACGCTGATCAGGTACATCTCACAAACAATCAAATGCCAGTAGGCGCAGTGGCAGTCCCCGAGGCAGACCCTAATTGGGACTATCAAACCGGTCAAGATGGCCACCTCCGCTGAGACCAAATGCTACAGTGCCTCTTAGCAGGCATGCAAAGCGCAGCTCAGAAAGTAGTTAATTATGACAAGTTAAGGGAAATAACTCAGGGTTCTGATGAAAACCCAGCTGCCTTCCTTAACCAATTAACTAATGCTATGATCCTCCATACCTGGATGGATCTGGCCTCCCTAGCGGGGCTACAGTCCTAGCCACCCACTTCATCTCCCAGTCAGCGGCTGATATAAGGAGGAAACTATAAAAAGCTGAGGAGGGCCCCTAAACTCCCATACAGGACCTGGTAAACCTGGCATTTAAAGTTTGTAATGGCCAAGAGGAAAAAGCTGAGGCCACCCGTCAGGCCCAGCTGCAGCAGAAAGTAAGCCTCCAAACCCAGGCTCTTGCATCGGCCGTGAGGCCGGCAGTCCACCAAGCACCCGGTGGAGGGGATCCATCGAAACCCTTCCAAAACTCTTTTAGGGCCCCGCCCAGGCCCTGTTTTAAATGTGGCCAGGAGGGACCTGGGTGCGGCAGTGCCTCTGTCCTCATCCTCCCCCGGACCTTGCCCAAGCTCCAAACAGACTGGACACTGGAAGGTTGACTGCCCATCCTGGGCTGCAGGCTCACCGCCCACACCTCTGTGTGGAGGGCAGGCCAGTCCGCAGGAAGCAGTCCCTTCGCTTGAACTTCTTGGCCTTGTGAATGACTGACGGAGCTCAGACTCGAGAACCCCCATCACCCTCGCTGAGCCCAGGATAATGCTGCAAGTAGCGGGTAAGTCCATTTCCTTCTTAGTGAATACAGAGGCTCCCTATTTTGTATTGCCTTCCTACTCAGGACCTAGCATACCTTCCCAGGTTTCAGTCATGGGGAATTAATGGAAAGCCTTCCCTTCCTAACCAAACTCGTCCCTTAGCCTGTGTCCTTGAGGGACATCCCTTCTCCCACTCCTTTGTCATCATACCCTCATGCCCAGTCCCCCTTTTAGGACAAGAGATTCTCCAGACTGTAGGGGCCACCCTCCAATTCACTGGCCACCCACATTCAAGCCCATCCTCTGCCCACCTTCTACTGCTACTCCTAACCGGTATCACGCCCTGTCTTAACCCTTCGCCTGAACCCCCTATTCCTCCTGAGGAAGTTAATCCCTCAGTATGGGACACCTCCAAGCCCGTAGTGGCCAGACATCACACACCAGTTACAATACTTCTCAAAAACTCTACCCACTTTCCCTCACGTCCTCAGTTTCCCATCTCAAAAACCCACCGCCAGGGCCTAAAGCCTATCATCACCCGGCTTCCAGCCCAGGGACTCCTTATCCCCACCAGTTTCCCTTGTAATACTCCTATCTTGCTGGTCCAGAAGCCGTCTGGCGACTACCACCTAGTTCAGGACCTATGCCTTATCAATGAGGCGGTGGTACCCCTCTACCCAGTGGTCCCCAATCTATATACCCTATTATCCAACATTCCCTCCACTACCTCTCATTTTACAGTTCTTGACCTCAAGGACACCTTCTTTACTATTCCCCTTCACCCAGAGTCTTACTTCTTTTTTGCCTTCACCTGGACCGATCCTGACACCAACCTGTCACAACAGCTCATCTGGTCGGTCTTGTCCCAGGGATTTAGAGACAGCCCCCATATTTTCCGACAAGCCTTAGCAGCTGACCTCAGCTCCTGCTCCCTCCAACCCAGTCTCCTTCTCCAGTATGTGGATGACCTATTGCTTTGTAGCCCCTCCCTCTCTCTGTCTCAACAGCACACTGCCACTCTCCTGGGGATCTGGGTATCCCCCGCTAAACCACAATTGTCAGTCACCTCAGTAATCTACTTAGGCATTCGCCTCACCCCCAAAACTAAAAGCCTAACAACCGACTGCCAGCAGGCACTTCTTTTGCTGCAACCTCCGGAGACTGCAGACCAGATTCTCTCCTTCTTAGGATTTGTAGGATTCTTCTGTCATTGGGTACCTAACTTTGCCACTCTAGCTAAACCTCTGTATGTGGCGGCTAAGGACACACCCACAGGACCCCTCTCTCATCCTGGAGTTGTAAAACAAGCTTTCAAAACCCTACAAACTGCTCTGTCCATGGCACCCCCACTTTAACTGCCCAACCTTAACCATCCCTTCCACTTATTTACTGACGAGAAACAAGTTATTGCAATTGGAGTCCTAACCCAACCCCTAGGCCCTGTGTATCGTCCAGTAGCATACTTATCGAAACAACTCAACTCCACGGTCAGGGGATGGCAGCCTTGCCTGCAAGCCCTGGAGGCAGCAACAGAACTCACCAAGGAATCCCTAAAACTTACCGTAGGCCAGCCTATCTTGGTGTTCTCTCCTCATTGACTAACCGACCTTCTCTCTCACAAATCTCTCGCTCACCTAGGACCCTCTCGCCTACAGGAATTTCATCTACTCTTTATCGAAAATCCTACAGTCAGCCTTCATCCCACTTCTCCACTCAACCTGGCTACCCTGCTTCCCCTTCCATCCCATTCCCCCTCCCCAGCCCATTCCTGTCCTGAACTAATAGAGGCACTTACTAAACCTCAAGAGGCCTTGTCTGACCTCCCCCTACCTAACCAAGACCTTACCTTTTATGTAGTTAGGAGTTCAATAGTGACAGCTGAGGGGCGGCGAAAAGCAGCCTATGCAGTAGTTATAGATTCAGCCACCCTTGAGGCACGTCGCCTCCCCGATGGAACCACATCACAAAAGGCAGAGCTCATTGCCTTAACCTGAGCTCTCATGTTAGCAGAGGGAAAGCGAGCAAATATCTATACTGACTCAAAGCATGCTTTTGTTATTACCCACTGCCACTCTGCCCTCTGGAAAGAGCAGGGATTTCTTACTACGAAAGTGTCCCCCATAATTAGCGCTACCCAAATCTCTAATGTCCTACAGGCTCCATCACTGCCTAAAGAAGTCGCTGTCATCCACTGCCAAGGGCACCAGGCCCAGCAGGTTGCTGCTTCCCGGGGCAATGCAAGGGCAGATGCAGCAGTAAAATCCTTGACCACTCCAGTCCTGTTCCCCACCACAGCCATGCCGCCAGTTTACTCGCCATCAGAGAAACAGGCCCTCATATTAAGGGGAGGAATTGAGTCTAATCAGGGCTGGATCTTCTTAAACAACAAGATCGCCCTTCCACGGAACAAGCCCCAAAAATTATTACTAAAATCCACCAGTCCTTACATATAGGGCCTAAAGTGTTATACCACTTCGTGCAGACCCTCTTTTTCTCACCAAGTCTACAACAAACGATTAAGCAGGTACAGAGAGAGGGAGAGAGAGACAGAGAAGAGAGAGAGAAGGAGAGAAAGGGAGAGAAAAAAGAGAGAGAGGGAGAGAGAGAAAGTAGAGAGACAGAAGGGGAGAGAGAGAGAGAGAGAGATAGAAAGAGAAAGGAGAGAGAGAAGGAGAGAGAGAGAAGGAGGGAGAGAGAGAGAAAAAGAGAGAGACAGAAAGAAGAGAGAGAGAGAGAAGCCTAATACCACCTTAACGGGTATCCCGCTGTTCAAGGTGCACTTTCAAAATCTCTCTCTCTCTGCTACAGAACAGCCAAGAGCTCCAGCTACAACGCTACAGTAAAAGTAAAATCCTCCCTTTACGCGCCTCCAGGAGGGTACTTTTGGTGTAATGGAACCCTAACCAAAGTTATTGATACATCCCTCCCTTTCCCTTGTGTGCCCGTCACACTAGTGCCGCAGTTAGAAGTGTACGGACAAGCCGAGTTCCTATCCCTCATCACACCGTTCCCCTAATCACCAGAGGAAACGAGCAGTCTTCCTCCCAATAGCAGTTGGCCTGTCTTTAGCATCCTCTCTAGTAGCAGCTGGACTAGCGAGCGGTGCCATGGGTTACAGCGTCACTTCGGCCGCTCAACTGGAAGACAAGCTCCATGTGGCTATTGAAGCGTCAGCCGCTTCTTTTGGCTCCCTCCAACGGCAAATCATATAGCTGGCTCAGGTGACTCTTCAGAATCGACGGGCCCTAGACTTACTAACGGCAGAAAAAGGAGGTACGTCTCTGTTTCTCCAGGAGCAGTGCTGCTATTACATCAATGAAACAGGCCTTGTAGCAGAAAATGTCAACACTTTCTATCACCTCCAAAAGAACCTCCGCAGGAAGCAGAGCGCACCAGCCTCGTCTCTCAACTGGTGGCAATCCCCCATGCTTAGCTGGCTAGCTCCTATTATCACCCCCGTTATCATTGTGTGTCTTCTACTAACACTAGACCCTTTTTTTCTCAAGTTTTTACAGGCCCACATGAGAGAAATTACCAGGGTGGCCGTAAACCAGATGATACTTCACCCCTATAACCGACTCCCAATCGAGGCACTGGCCAACGGACCCCTCCACCTCACTCTGCCCCTATTCAGCAGGAAGTAGCCAGAAAGAAGCGGCGTCCTATATCATCAAAAGGGTCGGAATGTAAGGCCAGTTGCCTCGGACGCGCCCATCCCTCTCCACGCCTGAAATTACGTCACCAGAATCTACACTCAGCATCTAGCTTCGCCACGCCCACCTCTGCACTCAACACTAAACTCTGCACTCGCACCTAACCCGCCGCTGGAAATCCCCTCTGCACTCAGCACCAGGATCTGCACTCAACACTGAACTCTGCACTCGGCACCTAGCCAGCCGTTGGAAAACCCTGCCAAAATTTAAATGAAGCCCCGCCAAAACCTGCCCAATAGCGTATTGCCCCGTCCAGCCCGCTCACCGGAAATCCCGCCTACCTACCTATAGCAGCTTGCTACGTCCACGTCCTGTTCTCTGCAGCCAATCAGAGCGCCTTCCCTCCCCATATAACCCCATGCCTCAAGTGTGACTTCCCTTGCCTTTTTCCCCAGGACCACGGACCCTCACCCGGTAGCCGAATAAATTGGCGTCTAATTGTTCTCATGCAGTCCTCAGTTTCCTCATTTTAAACTCGGCAATAGACCTCACCGAGAATAAACCTTACACTCCCAGTGCCCAGCACACTGCATGGTATAGACTCGGCACTCAGAACATACAGGTGGATGGGTGGGTGGATGGATGGATGAATCTCAACCCAAAAACTACTACTTTCTGGCTCTGGAAAGAGCAGAGAGGCTTCCCAACAGTGTGGAAGAGTAAGCCTGATTCTAAGCACGCTCCTGTCCAAGTCCCACAGAAGGGCTGGGGAAGTGGGCGTCCTTGGGAGGTCCTCTTGGGGCTGGGGAAGACCTGAAAGGACTCCAGCTCCAGACAAGCCCCAGTTTTTGCCCCCGGAGGCACGGGTCCTTCCTCCGCCAGGGAGGCACAGGGAGTCTAAGCCTGCGACTGCTTTGTCTTACCCGCCCCCGTCTGGGGAAGGGGGCTGCGGCGGACTTTTCTCTACCAGACTCGCAGTCCTTACGCCCACACACACTGTGTTTGCGGAGAGGCCAGTGGAGACAACCTCCCCCGTTTCTGGAGCCACCATTGCCCTCTCATTCCCGCTCCAGCAGGCCAGGCCTTGCTTCACCCCGGTTGCCTCACCATCGCGCCAGGAAGCCTGCGCCCGGGAACTCCTTTTTCCGCTGGCGCCGGGTCAGCTGATTCCACGGTCACGTGACTTGGAGTCACGTCCTCTGGGTGGGCGGGGCCTGCTAGAGTGCGGCTGGGAGCGGACCGCCGCTCCCTGGAGGTGGTGAGGGCCAGATGTTGCGTCTCCTCCATCTCCCAGAACCCTTCCCGGGGAAAAAACCAGCGCCAACCGGCACTTTAACAGAGGTCCGAATGAAGGCGTTAGGAAAGACAGCGGTAGTTATTTCATTTGTTTAACTTAAGCGAGTAGGATCCCGGGACATAGGGTTCCAGGTCATTGCCATGTTTTCCACTATAAGCAAATGCCATTATGCACAGCTGCGGGCTGTGGCAAAAGACGTATTTTAAAAACTTGAAATATACAGAAAACTGTATATATTGTAAATGTAAAGCTTTATAAGTTTTCGTAAACTGTAGACCTCACATAACCAGCACCCAGATTAGGAAATAACCAGATTCTTCTTCAAGCGTGTGGGTAATTTATTTCATTTTGATGAATCGTCTAAGTGCCTAGCAAAAAAAGGCTGTCATCATTTATATGCTCAGGAAAACTCTCTACAACTTCAACATCAATAGATGCTTATCTTAATGTTTGCCCATGGGATGGGGGAAAAAAATCGGTTGCTTAGATTGCAGTGGTAGTCTGCTTACGGGAGACTGAGCAAATGAGTAGTCTACAAAAAGTTAAGTTTCCGACATTGACTTGAAGAGGTAAAAAAAAAAAAAAAAAAAAAAAAAAAAAAAAAAAAAAAAAAAAAAAAAAAAAAAAAAAAAAAAAAAAAAAAAAAAAACAAACATTAGAGAATAGACTAATACCCAAAGAAGAAATCGAATACGGTCGTTGCTTAAAAACCTCAGGATATTGGTTCCAGGACCCCAGAGATACCAAAATTCACAGATGCTCAAGTCCCTGATACAATATGGCATGGTATTTGCATATAACCTATACACATCGTTCTGTATACTTTAAATCATCTCTAGATTGCGATAATGCCTAATACGACATACACGGTTTATAAATAGCTGTTATAAAGTATTTTGAATTTTTTGGAGGGGTGGTTTTACTTTTTCCGAATATTTCTGATGCACAGTTGGTTAAATCCAAGGATCCGGAACCCGAGGATACAGAGGGCTGACTGCAGTTTGCGCTCTCTCCTCCATTCCATGCCTATCCCATGCACAAGGTGCGGCTGGCTTTATTGTTTCAGGCTTTCAAGCTTTCAAAAGACAGAGCCCATGACAATTAAACTGCTCTATAAAATACAAAGAAATGGAGAATGTCCCAATTTATAGTAAAAATGAGCTCATTTCTGAAGAGTTCTTTTACAAATCAAAAACACTAGCCTGTTGAAAACAACAGTATGTTAAGTTACTATATCATGTCAAAGAAAAATTTTAAGAACATAAGACCTGTAATCATAGCCCTTTTGGAGGCCAAGGCCGGTGGATCAATTGAGCCCAGGAGTTCTAGACCAGCTTGGGCAACACAGGAGACTCCCCTGTCTACAAAACATTAGTCACTTGTGCTGGTGCATACCTGTCATCCCAGCTACCTAAGAGGCTGAGGTGAGAGGATCTCTTGAGTATGGGAGGTGGAGGCTGCAGTGAGCCATGATGGCACCACTGTACTCCATCCAACCTGGGTGACATAATGAGACCATTTCAAAAAAAAAGAAAAAAAAAAAGGTCTGGGCGCGGTGGCTCACGCCTGTAATCCTAGCACTTTGGACAGCCGAGGCAAGCAGATCACCTGAAGTCAGGAGTTCAAGACCCGCCTGGCCAACATGGCAAAACCCTGTCTCTACTAAAAA